GCAGTCACCGCCGCTCCACGCGCCACAACAAACACGATTCACCGGCCAGGCCAAAAAGAAGATTGAGGTGATATATAAGGTACAATCCACGATGCGATTAGCCAATAAAAGAAATATAGAAGAAATGACGAGAAACGAAGTCGCGCATACATAATTAATATCGGTGGTGGCATGCCATCAAGTTCTCATGATGATTTATTCAGAATCTCTAAAGGCCGGACAAGGTCGAACCGTTCCAAGAGGCAATGTTCTGCGTCTTATTTTCATCTCAGCAAACAAATCAATGCTTTCATATTCGCAGTAACAATCTTTCATATTTACAAAATGTATATAATTTTTTTTGTTAATTAATTTACTATGATAACTTTTAATGGTTTTCCATGAAAATACTTCAAACAAACGAAGTATAAGTTATAAGAAAAAGTTGCTAATTGTATTAAAATAACCATTGAAACAAACAAATAACTTATAATAAGCAACTTTGATTTATTTTTTTCTTGAAATTAAATATAAAAATAACAATAATTTAAGAAACTTATTTATTATGCATTAAAGACTACAGTTTAACTATTTAAGCTTAAATTTATGATAATCTATAAATATTTAAATTTCACCTAAATTAGTGACTCAATAGTTTGTACTTACTTCATAGTTTTAACAAACTTTGTTTTATTATTAATATTAGATTATAGATTTTGTTTTATAAATATACTTGAATTTGAGTTCGAGGAAGTTACCAATTCGTAAAATTCTCATCATTTTGTGGGCTCTTTTATGATCTTCGGCGCTTTAGAGAAACAATTTCTCTTGACTGCATCAAATTATGCAAACCGTACGTAGCAGAGAACGTCGGGTAGACGTTGGCCGCAGAATGTTCGTTCGTTCGTCGATCTTTGTGTTAGAGTTAATTATTATTTGGGAGGGTGAAAGCGGGAAGAGTTTAAAACGTATAACACGGATTAAAACGGTGCGGAGCTTCCAGGACGTGCCTTATCGGCAGGACGAAGCTCGGATCTCTTGCGGCTTACACAATCAAAACCCGAAAGCCCCTTGATGAACGAAGGGTTGAAATAATGCAAATTGCGAAAGTTGAATTTATGTGCACCTTTTTATTACTGGTCGAGCTAACAAAGAGCCTCGAAACTAACAAAAAAAAAAAACACAGAATCAATTTCAGCACATATAAATTATCGACTGATTTATTAGCTGAAGACACATTAACCTTAAGGATACCACTAAATAGTGGTTGAAGTAATATAACTTGAACGTCAGCTAAACTCATTATATACGATTCAATGCATTACCATAAACTAAGGATGTTTATGGTGAAAAACTGATTTTCTGCGCAATAACATTATAATTGTTGATGTTTTTTGTGATCACCGTAAAATTCCTTGTTTACGAGCTCTTTTCTGTCCTCGACACGGTGGAATCGGTTGCATAACGCGGATATAAACAGCCCTCTAATGAGAACCGTCCTGTGGGGAAAAGGGTAGCAACCGGATGCGAGGAGTCCGCCGACCGGAAACACAACAGATGCACAACAACCCTACATTTAAAATATATAGAGAGAGAAAACATGTATGAAAGCAGATGCAAGATTTTCTATTACTATTTGGTAGACCTTCGTGCGGTAATTGATGGTCTCAGCCATATCAATTATCTCGAATTCTTTTAAGTCTATAGATTATTATTATTATTATTGTGGATGATAGACTTATATTTTATATTGAATTAACTACATAAGAAAATTTAATTTCCATTTGTAGAAATGTTTAATAACTTTCCTTTGCTTAATATTAAGCAATCATTAGACGTTCTTTATCAAAACTTTGTATATAATTTTAGAATTATTGCTTTATAAAAATACCCAACTAATATAAAAAAATTATACAATACTATTTTGGTTTTCACAATTTTTTACATTTATAATCGTTAGTATTTTTGATAGTTTCAACTTTTAAATCTTTATTTGTTTGACAAAACTTTGTATACACTTCAAAATTAATTAACTGAATAATTAATTGAATGTTTATTTTAGATAATATTAAATTTGTATATAATTTTGATATATACCCATTTCATCCACCATAATTGCACCTATTTCTAATATGAATACACTTATCTTCTTGCTCAAAACCAATTTATTATTGTTTATTAGTTGTATTTATTCTCAAAGGTTTTTTTTGCAAAAAATGATTATAAAAATCATTAATTTCTTAATTAAATTATAGTTACTTCAAAGTTAATTTAATCTTATATAACGATATACATTAATCAAATATTGTTTTAGATTATTCTTATTTATTTAATCAAAAAATCTTAATGTTGTAATTAAAAACTATCTAAGAATGAAAATGTTTTGACCACTGGATCAATATCTTATTTATGCTATTCATACTAATTAATTATTTTCAAATTACAAAGTTAGCAAAGATTTATTTACCAAGTTACATAGTTATACTAATATTGTATTTTATTAAACTTGTTTTTTGATTCAAATCTCTTATTGAGTCCGCTGTTTTTGCGTTCTGACTCGAGTCAGGTAGAAGACGTTCCCGGTTTACGTAATTGCTTGTCGCGGGCTGCCAAATCGACTGTGAACGCATTTATTGTTACTTGAAATGCACATGTAGCAAGCAGCGCGACTGGATGAGGTGAGGTTTAGAGATGTTTATCAAGCAGTTGGTTTATCTCCGACGGGAATTGCCGGCTTGATGCAGTTGCGAGAAAGACGACGGATATCGATCCGTCCATTCTCTCCCGAGTATGTGCGAGAGGTGTATACACGTAAGTGCATATCGTTCGTTACGTAATTGAGTGTCTGAATTTCAATTGGCCTTGCATTACAATCGCAAGTAGGCGTTAGTACATGAGTTCTCTTATCAATAATAAAATTAATGTTGAAAACGCGATGACGAATCGTGTTTTTTTCCACCTCGATCGATGCGAACGCATTTTATTTAATTTTATTTTTCAAATCAGTCAGTAGCGCAAGCCCTTCAATTTCGGCGCTAATACGTTCCATTAAAATCGCATGAAATAAACATGAAAATGAAATGTTTTGCTTTTCGGGCCAAAATCATGGCTTCGTTAGCGCACCGCAAACTTACGGCGATAATTACGCAGCATCATTAAAACACAGTTTGTAAATTTCACCTCGCAAATGTCGCATGTTTTGATGCAATTTGAGTGCGCCGAACTATATTTCATCGTAGTTTTACTCAATTCAAATCTTGTTGGTTTTGGTTATTATACTAAACTTTAATTGAAGATAAAAAACATTCAATAATAGTAATAAAACAAAAAGTTAACTTTTGCAAATGGCTATTGACCTTAGGTCTTTTTGTCCTATTTGAGTTGTAAGTAACACAAATTATGTCATTAGTTCATATAATTAGCTGATAAATGTAATTATTTTATTTTAGTAGCAAAATCTGTATTTGTTAACAAATCCGGACGAAAATAAATCAACATATTTACATGTAGTCACGAAGTATTATTGACTCATATGAACTGAAAACTGACGTTGTTTTCCCCTACACACTAAAACGCAAAATTACATTTACCTTTTTTTATTGCCACGTTCGTAAAACTCGGAAAGTTCTTTCCCTTCATAAACAATTCAATCCCATTCACTTGCAACTCTTTCGGATTTCCTTCGTGCGGTCTTATACTCGCATAAAACTCGAACGAAACGATGATTTTTCTCGTATGCATTTCCGTCACAAATTATCTGATATACTCACTTTCCAAAAAAAAAAACTTTCTTCTCACTTTTCATAACTTCATATATAAATCAACGCTTACTTTGTTCAATATATTTTTTTTACTAACAAAAAGATGAATTATTTGTATTATTTTACAGTAAAATTAAGTGAAAAAAATAACTTGTGTATTAAATTAAGTAAATCCATAATTTTATTAATTTTGTTATTTTGAGCAATATTTCTATTACTTTTTATGTATAATAACTTTGAAATTTATATAAATACAGAAAATAGATGTATAATTTTCAAATAATTCCATTCCAATTATTCAATTTAATTGAAAACGTTTGTTTTTACATATACTTTTCTATTGAAAAGAAGAAATGTAAGAAATATTTTTCGTGTTGTCTAAAAGTTTCTATTGAAACATTAACTTAGTAAATATATCATGAAAATATTGTATCAAATATGATATTTTATTTATTTTTTATTTGATATTTTGGTGTATGTTATTACGTAAACGATTCGATTGAAAAATCACCCTCAATTTTCATTTTCTCCCCAAAATTTTTGCGACCGAAAACCAATTTCGAATTAATAAACGTTCATCCCCTGTATCGGATTGCGAAAAAAAATATATATCCGCGTAATGGTTTTGCGCAACAACGGCGGCAGCGCAAAAAAATTCACAGCCAACCCCGGACGTAATTCGATGCGATCCGAAGGGATGCTTTTTAAATGTTGTTTAAACGGTTTCGAATTTCGGCAGATTTCAAATCGATGATTTACTTTGCATATATGATTCAATTTTTAAAATTTTAATTCGTAAATTTGTAATGTTGAAAGAAATGTTTGTAAAATCCGGTCGAGTGTTAAAGAAGAAATATGCTGAGATAACCAGTTCTGATAAATATTCATATGAAAGTGGATAATTGGCACAGAAAACGTTTCTTCAATCGAACTGTTGATGCTTCGTGCGTTTCATTGCATGACTGTACAACGTAATTTAGGTATTATAGTAATATCACCAAATCGACAATTGCTCAACCGATAAGAAGCGAAACACGAGAAATGCGTAACTCGAGAATAATAAAATCTAAAGTTTTGCGATTAGAACTACGAGAATTATGCATTTACATAAAGCAAGCTGGAAATAAACATCTATATTACAACTAACACGTATTTATTAATTTATAAATTAATGTTTAGTTAAGATATTTATTGATTTATTGTCATTCTTTCAAATTATTGTAATGCTTTTACTAATACAAAATGTTTCTTTGTTTGCAGGTAATAATTTCTTCCATTCAACACGTCTGTGCAACATACATAATGGCAGTAAGTCTTTTGTAAATTAGCGATACGGTTAATGTTATCATTCGATCCCCATAAGCGAATTGTTGTTGTTAATTGAATAAAACCCGGGATTGTCGATGGCATCAAAGTTCGTTTGTGTGCGCGATAGTCGCCGGTTGGAAAGTAGTTGTTTGTTGTCGGTTGTTCGTTCCTTTTGATGTGTCGTCGTCGTCGGATTCCGTTTGTTGCTTTGATATTGATGCAGTCGATGCAATGAATATTCGACTATTAATCAACATCACCGACGTCGGTGCTCCTTATTATTGATGCATGTGCGCCTCGCCGCGCCGATCGATATCGCAAAATGTCGCCCGTAGGTGATTAACGTCCGTTATTTGCTAATTGAACGGAGTTGATGACTTCTTTGAAACTTTGTCTCATCGCAGTTGTACTTTGTTTTAAGTTCAAATATCCTGTTTTTTACAGTATAGTTGCATCATAATGTAATATTCAATTTTCCGCTAATAACTGCTAAAAAAAACACAAAAATATTAAAAAATTAACAGAATTTTATTTTTTAAATTTCTTTTCAAATAGCTAAAATTTAAAAAATTGATGAACTTGTGTTAAAGAAATTTTAAGGTTTAAAAAATGATATAGGTTTGTATTTGTTTATAGAGTGGAGCTGCGCCCACTGAGCCATGCGCAACTCGATAAATCACATTTGATCTTAAGTATATATTGGTACGCTACCGAAAGAGGTTTAACGGTCATTTAGATACGCTCAAATATGATTAATAAATCATAATGCTTCGTAACTGGAAAAGCGGTTTCATATACAATTTCAAGTTGTACGAATTGTAATGCATCGAATATTGAATTATTGTCTATTCTGAAATATTGAATGTCATAAAAGAAGCGTTGCTATTTTGTTTTGCTGCCATTTGTTTTTTGAACAGAGCCGTCCTAAGATATTTTGCGACCGTGCGTTACTTATGAAGAGAGAGGAAGTCAAATTTTTGCCCCAAAAGGGCCAGTCTTTTGGGACAGCTAAAGCCCATTTGAAATGGCCCTAGGTGTGGATCATCCAAAGTGATCTTGGGATATTTGATGGTTTGACGCTCATATTATTATGAAGAAAAGAATTTATATTTATTTTGACATGTTAGGATGTTAAACAATGTGTATAAAAGAAACGTTGCCATTTTGTTTTGCCGCCATTTATTTTCTATTGAAGTTTTTTCTTTGTATTTGAAATCTATCCAATTAAATTTTTAGCAAATCCGCTTTAATCTTGTCACGCCGTTGTCGAGAAGGCTGTTGAAGTTATATCAGTTTTTATTCAACTGCAATGCAAATGAACAATTAAAAATGAAAAGAGAATTGATTTTAAAGGTAGAATTATGCGTATTTTTTTTATGTCGTATAATTTTATTCACAATCTGTTCATCAATGTGAACATTGAGTAAATTTCGCTGTTGACATTAGGTAGGTAATCTTTCCCGGTGGATAATTATCATTATGATGATTTTTAATTTGTTGGTTGGCTGTCGTCTTAATACTGTTATTGTTCATCAACTTGGCTGAAGGTCCATATGCTTTACCTCATTCATTTCACTGTCCATCTGTGATGAACGATAGCCCTATTGCTGCAAGTACCGAAAGGGCTCACAAAGGGCCTGGCTTGACCAAGATTCGTAAATGTTTGAATTATGACAAATACATTTTTTTGGGTGGTATGAAGGCTATTCATAATCATTTTTTAACGAAACACTTGTATATAATTTTTGTTTATTTATATCGATAATTCACTGTAATATTCAAATGTCTTTCTTGTTATATTATTTTAATGTCTTCTTTTGGTTGGTTTCAAATCATGTTTACATGTTTAAAATTGCGATGCTAATCAAGTTGGTATAAAGATTTTTTTAATTACATGTGCATCGCATTTCTTAGCTTCTGCGGTTATTTCCGTCTTGTCCTCGTACCTTTCTTCGCGACGTTATTTTAGACCTCTGCATTTAGCTGCAGCTATTTTCTATCTAGGTAACATTTTATATCTTTCACCTTCGGATTTTGATCGCTTTCTTGTTATTTGCGTACGTACGTCGGTGTGAACTTTGAAATGCTTTTGAGGAAGTGATAGTTCAAGTGTATATCTCATTGGTGTGAGTCCAGACGATGAAGCAGGGTGCGATAGACGAAGAAGTAAAAGAGAGAGAGAAAAAAAAAACGAAATTGGGGAGGTTGTTGAATAGACATCGTTTTCGGTGTCGTTGCGCCGCCCCCGGAGTTCGGTGACGTCGTCTGCCCCCGGTCGAAATACGTTGGAAGTTGTGGGTGTCTGGAATGTGGAGGGTGAGTGACGATGATGAACATCAGCAAAAGCGTGGGTGTTTTTTGCATCGACCAACCGAACCAAAGCAAACCAAGGCTTCAATCCGCATATACTTCTGGATGCAAGGATGAAGGCTGACGTCAGTATACAATAATGGCACGGCTCGCTCCTCCCCGTCGACCGGTTGCTTTCGGTCGCTCTCTTCTGATGATGAAGGGAAGATCATACGGCAACAACGACGACGACAACGACAAAAAGAAAACTGGTTCTCCGGACATTAGCTGGCAATTTATAAAATGTGTAGCGCCGCGTCGGACGCGTTTATATACTTTCTGTGTGCGTACGTGATGGATTTATTAGGAGGTAACTCGAGAAGATATTTACAAGGTTTCTACTCCTTTTTTTGCTCTCTCTCCGCTATCCTTGCTCCGGTTCTCTTCTTCTGGCCACGACTGCAGATCGAAGCCTTCCAATAAATTCACCTCCGCCGTGCGTTTTATTCGATGCCGACACCGAATTAAATCGACACCGATTCCTCTTTTTGTGCGAACAACCACTCTTAATGATCCGACAATTCCAACATAAACCGAAACATTTCGTTTTTAATTGTACAGTTTATTACAAACAAAATCTCTCATCAATCCAAAATTAGTCTAAATTTTATTGATATTATAAACATTTTGTAATCCCATTTTTTTAAGTAATTACTATTCTCTTTATCTGTAATCGAATTCTAAAAGTACATTACTTTAACAGTTATTATTGCCTTGCTTTCAGAAAACTCAACAGAGTTATGTAGTACAATGCAATTACCATCAAATATTTTAATTCTAAATCTCATATTTGAGGATTATTTCTAAGTGAATCCAATCAATAATCGACTTGTTTTGTGAATGTTGAGATCTTTAAGATTTACAAAACAGGTAAGTTTTTTTCTATTACGAAGTCAATTCACCAATAGTACTAATCTTCCATACACACATTTTATTATTGAAATGAAATATAACTTTGGCTTAGTACAGAATCAATTAAATATCATAGATAAAATGTTAATTGTATTGATTTATGTGTCATAAGACCAAGTACTTCCTTGAGGTAAATAATTTATATATGTACAAAGTACCAAATTTTTGGTACTAGTTTGTTTTATTCAGAAATTTTCTAAAAATTAATTTATTTCTGAAGAAACAAGTCTTCAATTTTATCAAAATACTTATCTCATGATTAGTGATTATCAAAATTATCAAACTTATTTGCTACTAATAACAAACTTATTTTCTCTAAAGATACATTAATTGCATTCGCAACGTCCTTTGGCAAACGGCGGTCGTCTTTCGCGATGATTGCTTCTATTTTCGTTGCTGCTGGACAGATTAATTACGTGTAATGCGCACGCCAGGCAGGCATCATTAATTTAATGACTTAATATACAAGTGCGTAATATAATATATAATTTCGTTTCGAGCAGTCATTTTTTTTGTGCATAGCCCGTACATTCATAAACACGCTTTATAATTCCTTAATTAATCCTTTGGGAATTTCCATTCAGCAAGAAGCTTTATGTATAGCTGTAGTAGTTCGCGACGTAATTGGGATATTGTATTTCCAACTGTGCGCTATTCTATTATTGTTATTATTTTGTAATTGGATTTTCGTTCGCAATGTTAAATGAAATGTAAAAGTATTCTTGTTTTATTTAATTATTTTTTATTCATAGTGAATATTCTTCAATACTAGAATGTATTGCTGTATTCACGCTAGGCATAAATATCTGTCATGTAAACCAACTGCTATTAGTTAATATTAGACATCACATGACACTGAAACTAAACTGGTAGCTGCAATTAGTTTGTATCTTTACTAACATAAATAAATTTATGTCAACATATTTATTATTTTATACCCGCATATTTTTAAATATATATATCTTGTATGAATGCAATAATGTATTAATATCCAATTTAAAACTTTTCACTAAACTATAATCAAAAAAAACTTATGATAATATATGATAATATTGGGTGAAATAAAAAGTTCTGAGCATTTGTCCCATACATCGAGCTTCTTCTTGAGACCAGCGTTATGCAAATGGTTCCAAACGGTTTTCTGGCTAATCTTCAGTTCCTGGGCAATGGAATAAGTGCTCGCATGGCGGTCCGACTCGACAATTTCCATGATTTTATCAACATTTTTGACGATTGGCCTACCAGAGTGTGTTTCATCTTCGACATCAATATTACTAGAACGGAAGCGATTAAACCAATGCTTTGCTGTTGCATTCGATACTGTATTGGGTCCATAAACAACACATTCTTTTGGCCGATTACTCCGCTTTTCCCTTGATCGTAGTGGTACTGAAAAATCTATCGAATTTCCTTTTTTTTACCTCCTTTTTGAACGCTCTAACACACAACTGGATTCACTAAACATAAAACTGCCAAAGAAGTTTTTTTAAAGCGTCATGTCGCCTTTAAGTCGCAGTATAGAATGACAAGATGCAACGTATACATCGTAAGCCATCTAATGAAAAACGCTCAAAACTTTTTACTTCATCCAATATAATTCAAGAAATATTTCTTTTATTTCTTGGAGTAATTGCAAATTGTTTTTATATGCTATTATTTATGTATATCTTTAAGTATCATTTACCTATTGTTTTGATAATAGATAATTCTATTTCTGCATTGTCTTGAATTAAATCATT